CATCACCCTCTGATCTCATCAACTTAGTTCTCCACAGCTCATTTACACAAGCCTTCAAATCTTAGGCTACATGGCAGCCGCCACTTAAGTGGTGCAATTCTTGAGACTAAACGTGATGCCTCCAAGGCTAGCTGGCAACAGTGTATACACCCACCCAACACAGTTTAAACAAACGAGTGGCACTTCTTCCACTCATCCTCCCCTCCCTTCATTGGTGGACATAGCTTCTCACACTACTAAACGGCATTCCCTTTCAACAACACAGCCCATCTTGTGTGATCACCACCAATGTCTCCCTCAGGCTGGGGGACGCACTTGCTTCATCACACAATTCAGGGTAAATGAGCTCTGGGAGAAGCCCAACTTCATATCAATATCCTCGCTGTGAGCAGTGCGCAATGCTTCCCACCACTTTCTCCCAATGAGCCACAACAAAGCCATTTACATCTCCACGGACAATAAGGCGTGCATGTTTTATATCAATCGTTAGGGTGGGGCCCCCTCACGCTCACTGTGCAAAGAGGAGATCAAACTCTGGAACTAGTGCATAATGAACCACATAGCCCCCACATCTACTTGCCTAATGAGCAATCAGAACATCATGACAGATACCCTCAGCTGTCACTTCTCTGAACAACATGAATGAGAGATCAATCCAAGGGTTCTTCCCCACATATTGTCCAAATGAGGATATCCTCTTAGAAATCTCTTTGCGAACTGAACCAATCACAAATACCCCTACTTCTGTTCCAGAGTAGGATTCGAAAGGGAGTCACTGAGGGGTGCTTTCCTCCTTCCATAGACAGCCCCACTTCTCTATGCCTTTCCATCCATTCCTCTGATTCCCAGGGTAATCCACAAGATACGTGCAGATTGGTCAACATTGATTCTTTTTGCCCTGTCATGGCCTAGACAGCCATAGTATCCATACTTCCGATACCTATCTCTACGCAATCCCCATATGCTCCCCAACGTTCTCTTCCAAAACCAGGCCAAATACTCCACCCCACTCTACAGGCGCTCCGACTCAAAGCATGGCTCCATCGTTGTTACAACATGATGAACATACCTGTTCTGACAGAGTGAAACAGGTCCTATTGAACAGTCATTGCCTTTCAACAAAATATACATACAAAAAAAAATGGCATTAAGTTCAAGCCTGGAGTCACCAGAGACCACTACAACCCACCAACACCTCCTTATCTGCTTTCCTCAACTATTTACTGGACCTGAAAGAAGCTGGGCTTTACCTCATTTTGTTAAAGGTTCACTTGTCAGCTATTGCTGTCTTCCACGATCTCATTGATGCCACTTCAGTCTTTGCTGACCCCATCACCAAGCATTTCCTCACTGGTCTTCACAAGTTTCACCTGTGCTACCATGGGATCTATCCTAAGTTCTCAACATTCTCACACAACCTCTATTTGAACCTTTGGCTACCCGTTCCCTTTGTTATGTGTTGATGAAAGTGGTGTTTTCAGTGGTCATCATGTGCTGCCAGATGTGTAGGAAAAATCATAGCCTTGATGGCAGACCACTTTATACTATTTTTTCCAAGGAAAAGATTGTTACCACTACATTGCAAGTGTTTACCTATGGTCGTCTCCATCTTTCACATTAACAAACTCATACATCTTCCCACGTTTTTTTTTTCCTAAACCGCATAATTCGGGCAGGGAGGCTGCTCTCTACACCCTATATGTGTGGCATGCAGTTGCCTTTTATTTGGATAGAACTAGACTTTTCGCATCTCCACAAAACTTTTTGTTTCTATAGCTGACCAATCCAAGGGCTCAGCGGTCTCTTCACAATGTATCTCTAAATGGATATTATGCATCTCTATGTGCTATGCTCTCCACAACAATTGTCTCCCATAAAGGGTCACAGCTCACAACTCAGGTGATGGCCGTCTTTACAGCCTTTCTCCATAACATTCCTCTTGTGGACATTTGTAGAGTGGCTACTCGGTCATCTCAGCTCACGTTCACCCAACACTACGCGTTGTAATATGGACCAAGTCCAGCTACTTCTGTGGACCTCGTTGTCCTTGCTGCTTCACAGTCATGACTCCAAAGCCCAATACTGCCTAATGCAGATACTGTTGTATAGTTATATAGAGCACCCACAGGGACACTACTTGAAGAAGAGGATGAAGTTGCTCACCTTGTTCAGTAATAATGGTTCTTTGAGATGTGTCTCTTTGTGGGTGCTCCACTATCTACCGATTCTCCCCTTTATTTTGGAGTCCAATGATTGATTCCATGGTAGAGAAGGAACAGAAGGGCCATGCCACACATGCAGACAATGGACACAGTGACATGAGGTGACCCCTGTGCACACACAGCGTGGCAAGGTGCTGCTAAGAGAAAAACCTGATTGCTGGCATGAGGATGCAACACCTAGAGTGGAGCACCCACAGGGGGACACATCTTAAAGAACCATCATTACTGCATAAGCTGAGTAACTTAATAATGAATATAAATAAGACGGTCAGCTTCACTTTTTTCAGTTTAATGTATTTTTATTTTTTGTAACTGCCTTCACTTTCCCGCTCGCTAGGTAATTAGTCTTTTTTTTTTTTTTTTTAAACCAGTGTGACTGCCTCTCGTTGCTTTTGGGGGCATTTAGTAAAATGTTCTTAAACAGTTACCTCACTGGAGATATTTAAGAGCAGTTAGAAAGACACCTGTTAGGGATCATCTAGACCAGGGCTGCTCAACACATGGGCCACATGTGGTCCGCGGCCTGTTTGTTTGCATCCTGCAGTACGGTTTGGGTTTACATGGGGTTCAGCCCAGGGCCCACAGGAGGGATCCCTTGAACATGGCCTTCACTGGGAACATGCTCCATAACGGCAAGGCATCTCCCAGGTGGGATGAGCATTGAAAGACGCAAGTGGAATGGCTGGCTGGAACAGAGGGGTACAGGGTGTTGGTGTGTATTGCCATCAGGGTGGAGGCGCTGGGAGAGCCGGGGCATTGTGGGAAGTGTTGGCTGCTTAGCCTTGTGGCAGAGTCTGAGAGATGCTGACTGGCTTAAATTGGCCACGTTTGGGTTTGGCGCCGCAGCTTGAGGCTTAATCTTTGTATTCATGTCCATCAGTGTGAAAGAAGCTGCTATTTGCGTATACAGGCAGTCCCCGGGTTACATGGATCCGACTTACATCGGATCCCTACTTACAAACGGGGTGAGGCAACCCCGCACTAGCTGCTTTTCCCCCTAGCAGACTAGGGAGACGCGAAGCTAGCGCCCCACCCAGCAGACCAGGGAGACACGGAGCAGCTTTTCTCAGTAGACACCTCAGCTTGAGAATAAAGGACTGATGGAAGTGAGGTGTGGGAGAATAAAACTGAGCTCTGGAGAAATGTTTGGCTAGAGTTTCCCCTACAATATGTACCAGTTCCGACTTACATACAAATTCAACTTAAGAACAAACCTACAGTCCCTATCTTGTACGTAACCTGGGGACTGCCTGTATATTTTCATGTATATGCAACCACACTTAATTTGTGGCCCTCAGCATGTGCTGAGAGTATTGTTGTGACCCCTGGAGCTTCCAAAATTGAGTAGCCCTGATCTAGACAGTGCTTGGTCCTGCCGTGAGGGCAGGGAACTGGACTCGATGACCTCATGAGGTCCCTTCCAATTCTATGATTCTGTGAATTCTTAGTTACTGTGTAATAAGAGTTTTTGTTTAAATTCTCACCCAACAGATTTGGCTCATAATTGTTTTCGGCTTTGAAAAACTGGGTCTTTTTATAGCACCAAATATTACTGGTTTAGACTTCAGTTTTTTGTCACAAAATAAACGTGATCAAGTCATGAACACCTGTTTTTAAGCTACCACCAATTTTTAATTCTTTTGTCAGTTCTTTAGCTGTCAGGATGATGTGTCATATAGAATTCCCCCATGTTGGATGCAACACACTGAGTTAAGAAACTGTAATTTCTAATATTTAGAATGTCGAAACGTTGTAAATACTGCTAGCATGAGACACGTTGTTCTATGCTAAAAGAGTATGTTATTGGAAAGTCAAGCACTGGAAAGTTAGGAAATGCTGTTGTTGCCCGAATATCTGGTATTTTCTAACTTGTAAATGTTTGATTATGCAATCTTAACGTTTATAGTATAAGGTTTTTGATTTATTATTTTTACAGTGCCTAAAAGAGTGGTGGTCTGAATAACTCAATTCTGTTTATTCGTTTCAATTAGAAATCTGCCATTTATTTAAAACTACAAAAACAAAATGGTTCCAGGCCAAAGGCAGTGGTAGAGCTGGCACTCAGGATGGTGCCTGTGGGTGAGGCATCAGGAACAGCCTCCATGGCTCTCTTTCGGCCTAGAAGCTGGACATATCGACCACTTCCCAGGATCTGGGCCAGGGAGCTTGTTGCCCCTCTGCATCACCAGTTGAGGTTTAAGTGGTCCTGTCAGTGGTGCTCCCTGGACCTGCTAGGATCCGGTTTTGACCTGTTCTGGTTGAAAACTAGACCCTTGGCAACTTTACTAATGCCAGGTGCCTCAGAGGGAATGAACAGAAGAGGCAGTCATCAAGTGATCCATCCCCTGTCACCCATTTCCAGCTTCTAGCAAATAAAGGCTAAGGACATCAAATGGCCAATTTGCAACATGACAAAAGGATAAGTGGGACTTCAAAGTTTTATATTGAAAGCAATGGTATTCAGTATATTAAGGAAGGGTCTGTCAGCTATGGCTCCCAGAGCTGATCTTAGGGGTGGGCGAGCTGGGCGATCGCCCGGGGCCACCATTTTCAAGGGGCCACCAACAGAGCCGGTCTTAGGGGCGTGCTGTGACCGCATTTTGGCCTGATCTCCCAAATCCTCCCCCCAGGTTTTCCTGGTTACTCCCCAGACCCACCCTTTTTTTTTGGTCCAGTATTTTTTTTGAAACCATTTGAAAACCCTATGGACGAGCCTGCCCGGGGCTACCAATTGGTTAGGATCAGCCCTGCTGCATCTGTGGGTGAGCCGGGTAGTCGCCTGGGGCTGCCAATTGGTTAGGACCGGCCCTGGTGGCTCCATTATTAAGGTTCAGATTTGCAAGGATTCTTTCTCTCATGTATGAGCATGTACTTTATTTTTCTTCCAAATTACAGCACTTGTGGAGCATAGGATGAATTTGTAAATCAATTAATTAGTTGGAAATAAATTAAGATAGTTAGGGAACATTTAAACTTCAGCACATAACCTCCTTATAGATAATTCCATGTAGAATTCCCTGATTTCATCATCCATTATTCTCAGTGACATTGAGATGACAAATTACCATTAGCAAAGATGACCACTGCCTCCATCTGTCTGCTTTTTGCAGTGCTTCTCTCTACCTCCTGACAACCCAGGAGGGCTATCCTCTTCCCTGGCATCTTGACTTTACTCCTATTGGAAACAATGGGAGATAATGATAATTTTGAAAAGGGCAACACTTTGGTGAGTTTCTATGCAGGAGAAATATTTATTATTTAGTCTTTGATAAATACATAGTTTTTTTTATTATGAATAATAGCAAAAAGTGATCATCGGTCCTAAAAGTCTTTTAGTGGTGGGGGGTGTGTGGTTGTTTCTTTGTTCCAGTGTATGGAAAAGCAGTCAGGATTCACAGGAATATTTGTCCCAAAAAGTTTAAAAGAACTCCAAATCATCAGAAATATCACATGGTAGCAGTTTCTATGGATTCCTTGTTCAATGATTACTTATAAAACTTGTAATGAAAATGAAAATTCTCAAACTACTTTAAAGAAGGACTTAATGTTTAGAGTACCTATCAATAATTTAGAGTAAGAGTTGCAACATTGCTGCTATACTGTATATCTCTCTAAGAATGACAAATCCAGGAAACTCAGGCTTAAAACTAAAATTAGAAGAAAATCCAAACGTCATAATCTCTGGCAAAAAAAAAAAAAAAAAAAAACTCAGTGTTTTGATTTCGTTTTGGACTACAAACATGAAAATGCTGTAATTGTTTGGTTATTTCATTGTATTACTACATAACAGAGTTAATGTTATTTGGGTGCTTGTAACAAACAATTTCCTGTGATTATTTTGAGTTTTATGGATAATTATAATATCCATTCAATGTATTCTAACCTAAATTACTGATACCTACCCTCATCCTTAAGATAAAATTAACATCTTTAGGTGATAAGTCATTTGATCAGGAAGAAATCCCAGGCTTGGGGTTGTATCCTGGTGTTTGTGGGTTTTGGTTTCTAATGAAATAGCTGTCCTTTTACAGGTGAAGTGGATGATGTATTGGATAGTGTTTGCCTTCTTCACCACAGCAGAAACATTGACAGATATTGTTCTATCTTGGTGAGTATCCTGGTTGTTCATGCCATATGGGGAAGGGAAGGAAAGCACTCAGACACTCTTTTAGGATGAATTGCTGTGGGATAGCAAAATACCCTCTGCTCCACCCAAAGACTTTTTTTGTAGTCACTGTGGCTGTTAGCTCTGACTTTTATATACTTTGCCTTATGCAGCCATAAATTCCTGGTGGGCTTCAGAGTCCAAGCTCCAGCCTGCGCCATAACTACAAACACTGTCTACACAGCTGCAAACCCAAGTCTATGTAGACATACCGAGAGTGGCTCCAAGGATGCTCAACCTGGAGGTTCATGAAGGACCCTGTTCCATTGCTGGCCTTGCCACGTTGATTCTGTTCAATTTTTGAATCTTCTGTTTTGCTAATCCTATGTATGCTCCACTTTGGACTCTCTATCTGTATCTGTCTCTGACCTGTGCTTGACTCTAGCTCCTCCTTCTCTCTCAGGTTTCCATTTTATTTTGAGTTGAAAATTGCATTTGTGATCTGGCTGCTCTCTCCTTACACCAAGGGCTCCAGTGTCCTCTACAGAAAGTTTGTGCACCCAACACTCTCCAATAAAGAAAAGGTATTTTTCCATTGCTATGACTGTTGACAGGTCCTGTAAATTAAGTGTCTTTTGCCCCATTTAGACCATCATAAAAATCCTGATGCATCAGCTTATATTTCTGCTGTTTATAGAAGATGTAGGATGTGTTACTTCTCTAAAGCTAGGTGGCTAAACTGCATCCTGTGGAATATTGCAATGTGATCTGTAGTAGATTACAGAATCTTTAGTATGGTTGTGTGACTTGCAAATGTGATGGGTTCCAGGATGGATTGCTCCAGCAGTTAACACTGTTTGAATCAAGATAGAAGTCTTGCATTCTAGAACCTGTAACCGCTGCAGGTTGCAACTTCAAATTATTGATAGGCACAGCTTATCCTCTGCTCCATTTTATGTAATCAGGTATAGTTTGCTACTTTTGTCAAGTTACAAACGCAATCATCCATAGCAAAGGGATAACAGGGATGTGGATGACAGTGAAGTAATGCCTATTAGCTGGAGCCATTAGTTTTGGAGAAAGGTGCCTGATGAGTTTTTGTGTTTTTAATGGGGAGGATTTTGCTTGTAGTCCATGCTTGTAATCAGGAATCTACATACTGGCTTTCCCAACTTCTTTCCTAGGAGATTGATGAGTATATTACCCAGGCCTGTGACAAGAGCTATGAAACCATGATGAGAGTCGGCAAGAAAGGTTTAAACTTAGCGGCCAATGCAGCAGTTACTGCAGCTGCAAAGGTAACACACTAGAACACTTCTTTAGACATTGAGACACCAGTCTGCCCTCAGCAGGATAACTTCCATAGGAACCTAGGATTGAAAGGGACCTCTTTGGTCATCAAGTGCAGTGTAGGAAACAATGTCATAAAATCCTATTCATAAACTTACCAAATACTGTTTCAAAACTATTTTGGTTCCTGTTGCTCTGTCCCTCTAGCTGATTCCTGGTTGGCTCGGAGGGAAAATTGCAGGTACTGCTGACTTCATTCTCCTGCCTTCCTCCAGTTTGTATATTTTTCATGCAACACTTCAGCTTTTGGAGGGGCTAAGAGAAGATTATTCCAGGACAGTCTTCCTTTTGATTGGCTTTTTGTGCATGCATATCTCTTCCTTTTGAGTCTTTTTGTGAAGAATGGGACATTTTCTCTCTCCTTCCATTTGGTCTCTGTGAAGAATTCCAGATAACAGAAGCCATGTATGAGGTATCGATGGTGTCTTTAGAGGTCGTTTTGGAACACATTGATAAATTGAACAATAAGAAGTCATCAGGACCAAATGATATACATCCAAGAGTTCTGAAGGAGCTCAAATGTGAAATTGTAGATCTAGCAGCTGAGGTCTGTCATCATTTAGGTACAGAAGCTGATTTAATGACTGGGAGATAGCAAAAGTGATGCTAATTTTTAAAAAGGGCTCCAGAGGAGGTCCTGGCAATTATAGGCTGATAAGTCTGACTTCAGTATTGGGAAAACAGGTTGAAAGTATAGTAAAAAAAAAATATTGGCAAGCATATAGGTTAGGGATGTTGAAATGCATTTAAGTAAACGTGTAATCCTTGACAATTTCAATGGTTTAATGGTTAAATGCGAGGGGTTGGGGAGGGAGGGAGACAGGTTGCCTCTGATACAAAGGCAGCAGCACGGGGGTAAGGTAAGGAGGAGGTGCACATGAGGAGCCAGCTTTTAAGCTGACTTTGTGTGCATACCAGGAATCTGCATGTAAACATGAAGGTTAACCAATGAGCCCACCTTTAACGCTTTCCCACCCTTAATACAGATGAAAATAATTTGTTAAGGAAGAATAAACATGGAAGGAGTACTGCAGAAAAAGATGTAGGGGTCATGGTAGACCACAAGCTAAATATGAGTCAGTGTGATGCTGCTACAAAAAAAGAAAATAAAAGAAACTTCATTCTGGGATGTATTAACAAGAGTATTGTAAGCTAGACACAATAAGCAATTTTTCTGCTTTACTCCGCTCTGATTAGGCCTCAACTGGGTTATTGTGTCTAGTTCTAGGCACCACGTTTCAGGAAAGATATAGTGAAATTGGAGAAGGTCCAGAGAAAAGCAACAAAAATGATTAAAGGTCTAGAAACATGATGTCTAAGGGAAGATTGAAAGAATTGGGTTTGTTTAGTTTGGAAAAGAAAAGACTGAGAGGGGACATAGTCATAGAATCATAGAAGACTAGAACTGGAATGGACCTCGAGAATTTATCGAGTCCAGTCCCCTGTCCTCATAGCAGGACCAAGCACTGTCCAGACCATCCGTGATAGATGTCTATCTAACCTGCTGTTAAATATCTCCAGAGATGGAGATGCCACAACCTCCCTAGGCAATTTATTCCAGTGTTTAACCACCCTGACAGTTAGGAAGTTTTTCCTAATGTCCAGCCTAAACTTCCCTTGCTGCAGTTTAAGCCCATTGCTTCTTGTCCTATCCTCAGAGGCCAAGGAGAACAATTTTTCTTCCTCCTCCTTGTAACACTCTGGGTGTATCTACACTAGCCCCTTAGATCGATCTAGGGAGGCTAATGAGGGCGACCGAAATTGCAAACTAAGCGCGGTATTTAAATATCCCACGCCTGATTTGCATGTTCCCAGCCAGTCGCCATTTTAGAAATTGACTAGCCTGAAGTAACTGCCCTCGTCTACACGTGACACTGAAAGGGGATTCCAAAATAAAGCCCTAACTCGAATTAGCTGGTAAACCTCATTGCAGGAGGAATACCAGCTAATTCAAGTTAGGGCTTCATTTCAGAATCCCGTTTCACTGCCATGCGTAGAAGCGGGCAGTTACTTCAGGCTAGTCAATTTCTAAAATGGCGACTGGCTGGGAACATGCAAATCAGGCGTGGGATATTTAAATACCGCGCTTAGTTTGCAATTTCGGTCGCCCTCATTAGCCTCCCTAGATAATGTCCCCCCTCGGTCTTTTCTAAACTAAACAAGCCCATTTCTTTCCATCTTCCCTCATAGCTCATGTTCTCTAGACCTTTAATAATTCTTGTTGCTCTTCTCTGGGCCTTCTTCAATTTCTTGAAAAGTGGTGCCCAGAACTGGACACAATACTCGAATTGAGGCCTAATCAGCGCTGAGTAGTGGAAGAATGACTTTTCCTGTTTTGCTCACAACACTTCTGTTAATGCATCCCAGAATCATGTTTGCTTTTTTTGCAACAGCGTCACATTGTTGACTCACATTTAGCTTGTGGTCCACTATGACCCGTAGATCCCTTTCAACAGTACTCCTTCCTAGACAGTCACTTCCCATTCTGTGTGTGTGAAATTGATTGTTCCTTCCTAAGTGGAGTACTTTGCATTTGTCCTTATTAAACTTCATCCTATTTACCTCAGACCATTTCTTCAGTTTGTCCAGATCGTTTTGACTCATGACCCTATCCTCCAAAGCAGTTGCAGCTTGGTATCATCTGCAAACGTAATAAGCGTACTTCCTATGCCAATATCTAAATCATTAATGAAGATATTGAATTGAACCAGTCCCAAAACAGACCCCTGGTGAACCCCACTTGTTATGCCCTTCCAGCATATTATGAGCTGTTAATAACTACTCTCTGAGAATGGTTTTCCAGCCAGTTAAGTACCCAACTTATAATCGTGGCTTTCAAGTACCTAAGAGGGTGTTACGAGGAGAAGGGAGAAAAATTGTTCTCCTTGACCTTTCATGATAGGACAAGAAGCAATGATCTTAAATTGCAGCAAGGGAGGTTTAGGTTGAACATTAGGAAAAACTTCCTAACTGTCAGGGTGGTTAAATACTGGAATAACTTGCCTACAGAGGTTGTGGAATCTCCATCACTGGAGATATTTAAGAGCAGGTTAGATAGGCATATATCAGGGATTATCTACAACAGGGATGGGCATTAATTTTAGTGGGGGCACTTCATTAATTTTGGTATGTGGTCACAGGCTGAACCCACCCCCAGAAGGAGCAGAGTTTGTGAGTAGCACTGCAGGGCCTGGGGCAGAAGGGGTGGGGCTGAGGACTAGCCTCCCCCTCAGAGTTGTCAAAGGCTGGAAGCTTTGAAGTAAAAACACAGCAAAGGGCTAGTGGCTTCTGGCGCTACCATTACTGCTTTTTCTGGCAGCGCCCGAGGGTTGCTGTGACTATTTAAAAGACTTGCGGCTCCAGCTCCTGCCAAGTTAGCAGTGCAGCTGGCAGCCATGAGCCATTTAAATAGGATCCTGCTGCCTGAGCCACTGCCTGGAAATTCAGTGGCATGGACAGCAGGATATAAATAGAAAGTGGCTGGATGCAGTTGGCGGGCTGGATCAAAGTGTTTGTCAGGCCAGATCTGGCCCCCAGGCCACATCTTGCCCAGCCATGATCTAGAATGATGGTGCTTGGTTCTATCATGAGGGCAGGAGACTGTACTTGATGACCTCTTGAGGTCCCTTCCAGTTCGTATTCTGTGGTTTTTTGTAAAGGGAAATAATGTATTACCAGTCTACTAGAATTCTTTGAGGAGATCAGCAAGCATGTGGACAAGGTCCCTCTCTAAAGGCTCTTAAGGAATTAAACTACCATGGCATAAGGGGGAAGGCCCTCTCGTACATAGACTGGTAACTGACTAACAGGAAACAAAGGATAGGAATAAATGGTTAGCTTTCAGAAAAGGCAGAGGTAAAAAGTGGTGTCCCCCAAGGGGTCTGTTCTGGCACCAGTCCTTTTCAAATTGATAAATGATTTGGGGAAAGGATTTAACAGTGAGGTGGCAATATTATCAGAGGATACAAAACTGTTCAAGATAGTTAAGCTGCAGGTAGACTGTGAAGAGTTATAAAAGGATCTCTCAAAACTCCGTGACTGGGCAACAAAATGGCAGATGAAATTCGGTGTCAATAAATGCAAACAAATGCACATTGGAAAACAATCTCATCTATACATATCAAATAATAAGGTCTAGATTAGCTGTTCCCATTCAATAAAGAAATCTTGGAGTCGTGGATAGTTCTGAAAACATCCTCTCAATATGCAATGGCAGTCAAAAAAGCAAGTAATGTTAGGAATCATTAAGAAAGGATTAGAAAATAAATTGCTTCTATATAAATCTATGGTCTGTCCATATATTGAATACAGTGTGCAGATGTGGTTACCCCATTTCAAAAAAGTTTGGAATTGGAAAAGGTTCAGAAAGGGGCAACAAAAATGATTAGAAGTATGGAATGGATTCTGTATGAGGAGAAATTAATAAGAATGGGATTTTCAGCTTGGAAAAGAGACAACTAAGGGAGAATATGATTGAGGTCTATACAATCATGACTGGTGTAGAGAAAGTAGATAATGAAGTGCTATTTACTCCTCATAGCACAAGAACTAGTGGTCACTAAGTGAAATTGACAGGCAGCAAACTTAAAAACAAAAGAAAGTGTTTCTTTAAGTCAACCTGTGGAACTCTTTGCCAGAGGATGTTGTAAAGGTCAAGATTATAATAATATAAAAAAAACTAAATAAATTAATGGAGAATAGGGTCCATCAATGGCTAATAGCCAGGACGGGCAGAGATGGTGTCCCTAGCTTCTGTCTGGGCTGGGAATGGATGACATGGATGAATCACTTGATGGTTACCTGTTCTATTCATTCCCTGTTGGGTTCCTGGCACTGGCAGAATGCTGGGCTAATGTTCTAATGTTCTTAATTGTTGTGTCCTGTTAGGGTCAGGGAGTTTTGTCTGAGAAGCTGCGGAGTTTCAGCATGCAGGATTTGACTCTGATCCGGGATGAAGATACCATGCATCTACAGAGCCCCAAGGCACAGCTGCGCACCTCCACTAGTGGCCTCCTTGAAACCATTGAGGATTCAGGTACATGAGGTGCTGGATAAATAGTGGGAAAAGGAGAGTCTAGAGGCTTTAAGATGGTGGTTTTAAGTGCTGTCAAAGCTTTTGATTTTGATTTGAATGTTGCATGGAACTCAGGAGTATGAGTTGCCTGTTACTTGGGGAAAGTGATTTTTGGAGAGAGTACCCTTCCAAATTAATCTGCTGTAATTTCACTATGACATGCTGTCATCTGCTGGTTTTTTGTTTGTTTGTTTTGTTTTGTTTTGTTTTTTAAATGTATGGTCTATTTAAAATTGGATTTGAAAATATGACCACCTCTATTAAGTCTAAACTTACAGTAAACTATTCAAGTAATTTAAATTAATAGAAAAAATGTTTACACAATACATGTCTGCTGCCAAAGTTTTAAAAAATGTCAGATCACTGAACTGGTGGAAGTTGCTAGCTATGCACTTGGAACCAGAGTTTTCTGAAGGACTAAACTAACTTTTTTTAGTAGTAATGTAGTCTGCTGACACAAAGAGTATTTCCTTTATTTCACTTCAAGGTTTTTTTTAAAAAAAAAAAACAAAAATTGCAAAACTGGGAATCATGTTTTTTACTCTTTCAATTTAAGAATAAAAATTGGGTATGAACTCTGCTAATTCTAAAACATTAAAGAACATGGTGAACAGAAACAATAGCTCAATTCACAAATTATAGATAATACTTCTTTTCTTAATCAGTTTCAAATGTAAAACATTTAAAGTGTTTTCTTGTGTATCTAGAACATTTAAGGTAGCTTTCTAAAATGCAATTTGTATCAAGTTGTATTTAAAGTGGGAAAAAAAACAGCAAATACAAAATTAATCCTCTAGTAAATAAGCCCACCATTCATTATTTTCTAACATAGAAAAACATAAGAATTAAAAATCTGAAAAATGTATTTTAAATGGTACCTGCTTAAAATAAACATGTATAGGTATAGAATATCCTCCTAGGTAGTAAAAAGTAGCAAATTTAGTATATAGTTGTGTGTTAATGGTTACTAGTCAATGAGCATCAACCTCTCTTTAAGAAAATAAAAAGTACAAATGCAAAATGAGTAAAATTGATTTTCTGCTTGCTGATTTAAATCATGATGAAAATCAGTAATTTAAAGTGTTGGTTGCAAATCAATCCATCCTAGTTAGGAGGCATGTGTCTTCTACATTTTCCCCATCCTTCCCAGTTTGCACACTCCTGGGTGTCCCCACCCCCCTCTCTCTGAATAAGAGCTTCTCACACTTCTCTCCCCTCCTGACAAAGCTGATTAGGAACCCCTTTTAGATGGACTTGGCATTGAAAAGTATAGGTATTTTTGTTTTCTTCTTATCCTTAGCGGTTTCCTGTTACTCTTCAGGAGAAGAGGCCAGTTTATCTCAAAGGTCAAATGGGGCCCATTCTGACTCTAGAACAGAACCTTCAGATGAGGATACAGGAGACAAAACACCAAAACGCACACAGAGCCTCAAAATTCCCAAGAAAGTGACAAAAGCTGAGGTGAGTTAGAGTATAAATGAGTTCTTGGGCTGGAGCTGGTTTGTATAGTTGAAATTATAGTAAAAACCAGAGCTTTCATGTCATAGATCAACACAGTATGTAGAGGAAAAGTCAGCTTAGCTTTTACAGTAGTAAAGAATAGAATAAAATTGTCAGGCACGTAGAAGAACATAATTTGTTGGACAAAAGTCAACATGGTTTCTGTAAAGGGAAATCATGTCTTACTAATCTATTAGAGTTCTTTGAAGGGGTTAACAAACATGCGGACAAGGGGGATCCAGTAGATATAGTATACTTAGATTTTCAGAAAGCCTTTGACAAGGTCCCTCACCAAAGGTTCCTGTGTAAATTACATTGTCATGGGATAAGAGGGAAGGTCCTTTCTTGGATTGAGAACTGGTTAAAAGAAAGGAAACAAAGGGTAGGAATAAATGGTAAATTTTCAGAATGGAGAGGGGTAACTAGTGGTGTCCCCCAAGGGTCAGTCCTGAGACCAATCCTTTTCAACTTATTCATAAATGATCTGGAGAAAGGGGTAAGCAGTGAGGAAGTAAAGTTTGCAGATGATACAAAACTGTTTAGGATAGTCAAGACAGAAGCAGACTGTGAGGGACTCCAAGAAGATCTCACCAAACTGAGTGATTGGGCAACAAAATGGCAAATGAAATTTAATGTGGATAAGTGTAAAGTAATGCACATCGGGAAAAATAACCCCAACTATACGTACAGTATGATGGGGGCTAATTTGGCTACAACAAATCAGAAAAGGGATCTTGGAGTTATCGTGGACAGTTCTCTGAAAACTTCCACACAGTGTGCAGCGGCAGTCAAAAAGGCAAATAGGATGCTAGGAATTATTAGGAAAGGGATAGAAAATAAGACCCAGAATATCTTACTGCCCCTGTATAAAACTATGGTACGCCCACATCTTGAATACTGTGTACAGATGTGGTCTCCTCACCTCAAAAAAGATATTTTGGCCTTGGAAAGGGTTCAGAAAAGGGCAACTAAAATGATTAGGGGTTTGGAACGGGTCCCATATGAAGAAAGGTTAAAACGACTGGGACTTTTCAGTTTAGAAAAGAGGAGACTGAGGGGGGATATGATAGAGGTCTATAAAATCATGAGTGGTGTGGAGAGGGCCGATAAAGAAAAGTTATTTATTAGTTCCCATAATAGAAGAACTAGAGGACACCAAATGAAATTAATGGGTAGCAGGTTTAAAACGAATAAAAGAAAGTTCTTCTTCACACAGCGTGTAGTCAACCTGTGGAACTCCTTGCCAGAGGAGGCGGTGAAGGCTAGGACTATAATAGAGTTTAAAGAGAAGCTAGATAATTTCATGGAGGTTAGGTCCATAAAAGGCTATTAGCCAGGGGATAAAATGGTGTCCTTGGCCTCTGTTTGTCAGAGGCTGGAGAGGGATGGCAGAAGACAAATCGCTTGATCATTGTATTCGGTCCACCCTCTCTGGGGCACCTGGTGCTGGCCACTGTCGGCAGACAGGATACTGGGCTAGATGGACATTTGGTCTGGTGAGGAGGGAGAAGCAGTAACAGGGAACTTGGAAATGGCGGAGATGCTCAATGACTTCTTTGTTTCGGTCTTCACCGAGAAGTCTGGAGGTGTGCCTAACGTAGTGAATACAAGCAGAGAGAGGGTAAGTTTAGAAGATAGGATACACAAAGAACAAGTTAAAAATCACTTAGGAAAGTTAGATGTCAGCAAGTCACCAGGTCCTGATGAAATGCATCCCAGGATACTCAAGGAGCTGATAGAGGAGGTATCTGAGCCTTTAGCTATGATCTTTGAAAAATCATGGCAGACAGGGGAGATTCCAGAAGACTGGAAAAGGGCAAATATTGTGCCCATCTATAAAAAGGGGAATAAGAACAACCCAGGAAATTATAGACCGGTCAGTTTAACGTCTGTCCCAGGGAAGATAATGGAGCAGGTAATTAAGGAAATCATATGCAAACACTTGGAAGGTAATAAAGTGATAGGGAATAGCCAGCATGGGTTTGTGAAGAACAAGTCATGCCAAACTAATCTGATAGCTTTCTTTGATAAGATAACGAGCCTTGTGGATAAGGGAGAAGCGGTGGATGTCATATACCTAGACTTTAGTAAGGCATTTGATACGGTCTCGCATGATATTCTTATTGATAAACTAGGCAAATATAACTTAGATAGGGCCACGATAAGGTGGGTGCATAATTGGCTGGATAACCGTAGTCAGAGAGTTGTTGTTAACGGTTCTAAATCCTGCTGGAAAGGGATAACAAGTGGAGTTCCTCAAGGGTCTGTTTTGGGACCCGTACTGTTCAATATCTTCATCAATGATGTAGATATTGGGATAGAGAGTACTCTTATTAAGTTTGCAGATGATACCAAACTGGGTGGGGTTGCAACTTCTTTGGAGGATAGGGACATAATTCAAAATGACCTTAGCAAGTTAGAGAAATGGTCGGAGGTAAACAGGATGAGGTTTAATAAGGAGAAATGCAGAGTGCTCCACTTAGGAAGGAACAATCAGTTCCATACATACAAGATGGGAAGCGACTGTCTAGGAAGGAGCATGGCGGAAAGGGATCTAGGGGTCATAGTGGACCACAAGTTGAATATGAGTCAACAGTGTGATGCTGTTGCCAAAAAAGCAAATATGATTCTAGGTTGTATCAACAGGTGTGTTGTAAGCAAAACTCGTGAAGTCATTCTGCCGCTCTATTCTGCACTAGTTAGGCCTCAGCTGGAGTACTGTGTCCAGTTCTGGGCGCCACATTTCAAGAAAGATGTGGAGAAATTGGAAAGGGTACAGAGAAGAGTGACAAGAATGATTAAAGGTCTAGAGAAGCCTATGAAGCCAGGCTTCATGAACTGGGCTTGTTTAGTTTGGAAAAAAGAAGATTAAGGGGGGACATGATAGTGGTTTTCAAATATCTAAAAGGGTGTCACAAGGAGGAAGGCGAAAATTTGTTCCTCTTGGTTTCTGAGGACAGGACATGGAGTAATGGGCTTAAAGTGCAGCAGGGGAGGTTTAGATTGGACATTAGGAAAACATTCCTAACTGTCAGGGTGGTCAAATATTGGAATAAATTGCCAAGGGAGGTGGTGGAATCTCCCTCTCTGGAGATATTTAAGAACAGGTTAGATAGACATCTGTCAGGGATGGTGTAGACGGAGCTTGGTCCTGCCTTGAGGGCGGGGGGCTGGACTCGATGACCTCTTGAGGTCCCTTCCAGTCCTATGATTCTATGACCCAGTACGGCCATTCTTACGTTCTTATGTTTTTTTAAAGGGAAATCCTGTCTCACCAGTCTATTAGAATTCTTTGAGGAAATCAGCAAGCTTGAACAAGAGCGATATAGTAGTGTACTTGGATTTCAGGAAGCTTTTCACAAGGTGCTATACCAAAAGGTGCTTAAGCAAAGTGATCATGAATAAGCAAGAAGGTCCTCTCCTGGATCAGTAACCATTTAAGAGAAAACAGAAGGTGGGAATAAAGTTAGTTTTCACAGTGAAGATAGTGAGGGCCCCCTAAAGGGTCTGTATAAATGGTGAGGTGGCAAAGTTTGCAGATGACACAAAATTACTCAAAATAGTTAAATTCAAAGCTGACTATGAAGAGTTACAGAGCGATCTTGCTAAACTTAAGTGACTAGGCAACAAAATTGCAGAATTTGTGAAAAGAAATGCCTAATGCAAAACATGATCCCAGCTATACATAAAAATGAAGGGGTCTGAATTAGATGTTACAACTTAAGAAAGAGTTTTTGTTGGAGTCATCATAGATAGTTCTCTGCAAACATCCTTCCTAGGTTATGGGCATGTTTTCACACTCTTGCATGTATCCCTCAGGCTCTGAGTAAGTGCTGCTCACATCTCTTTCCCCACTTGACATACCTGATAGGGAACCTCTTTTAGGTGGAATTGGCATCAAATAGTATAGGTGTTTGTTTTCTTCTCATCCTTAGCGGCTTTCTGAATGTACAATAGCAGTCAAAAACTCCCCACAGAATAAAATAGAAAATATCAGCAAGCCAAGGTATAATTTCATGGTATGCCCACACCTTGCATGCAGCTCTCATTGGTCCATCTAAAAAATACATTAGAGTTGGAAAAAGTACAGAGAATAGCAACAAAAATAATTAGGGGTATGGAACAGCTTTCATGTGAGGGAAAAATTAAGAAGACTGGGGTTGGACAGCTTAGGAAAAAAGCACTACGAAGGGGGGAATATGATAGAAGTCTATAAAATCATGATGTGGAGAAAGTAAATAGGGAAACATTATTTATTCAAGAGTTTGCTCATATCAATTCCAATTAAGTGTGCACACATCACACGCACAGCTGTCAGAAGTTTTTCCCTAGCTGCTACCAATCAGGTTGGCCATGGAGCCCCCTGTAGTGGTGTTGATATGGTGCTCTATATATGGCCTAGCTAACCGGACCTAACCCCCCTTCTTCAGTTCCTTCTTAATACCCATGATGGTTGCTAGAACTGTGGTTCTCTGGCATATCAAGTCTTCCATTCTTCCTTAGTGTTGGTGTTCCGACACCTATTTTCCCATCTTACTTGAATAGGATTCCTCTCTGGCATACTGGCACCTATTGCCTGTTTCCTGGGGAGGCTTGGCTCCCGCCAGAAGCACACCCGGGACACGTGACTGCAATTGTGGAATTTGGGATGGTGGTGGTTGTTGTTGCTCAACATCTTTGAGTACCGGCACTTTTTTTTTCCTTACAAAAAAGCACTGGTTATAGTGTAAATACATTCAGGTGTGAGGGGTTTTCTTTCGCACCCATGTTCCCCCTGGGCCTTGTGGTGTGCTCAAGGGTTTAAGCCTTGCAGTTTGTGCCTGAAACCTGTGCCTATGGGCAACCTCCATGACTCCTGTCTCAAGTGTCTGGGAAGGGAGCACCCATCAGACAAGAGCAAGATCTTTAACACTTTTAAGTCACATTCCAGAAAGGAGCGGGATTTTTTTGATTCAAGCAGT